GGACTGTTAAACAACCAAAATAAATAATTATTAAATATTTTTTCTGCAAAAGGTTTTACTGAAACTGTTCAAGAAAAACTTATCTTGACAAGAGTAAAATATGTACATACAAAATTATTCGTTCTTAACCTGAAAGAAATTTATATCATTCATAAATTCCATTGAATACCATCTCACCCTAGAGTGCATTCTACAGTTATTTAAATATTTAAAAGTAAAAAAAGTGAAAATTTTTCAACCTGTAGACTTGTAGAGATTGCTTAATATTAATAAAAAAAAAAGGAATAATAAATGGGGCCCACACAACAGATTTTTCGTAGAAAAATCTAGAAATATGGCTGAACAGATATGTGCGTTGATTTCAATAATGAAAAAAAAGAAGAAATTGGGCTGCAATTCTCATTTTGGTTGAAAATTATATGAATAATGGACCGTTGTGGTTTGAAATTGGTTGATTGATTTTTCCGTGAAACATATAAGAATATCATAATTTCTTTTTTTCATTATTCTAACCCAAAAATTTGAAAAAAAAATCACGAGGAAAAAATTTATTAATATTGTAATAATATCATTTGGGGATGAGGCCTAATATAAAACAAAATATTTGAGGTGAAAAGGGTTTGATTGTTGTTTCCTTGCGAAAAAAATTGAGAAGGTGCGGAAAAATAATTTGAATTTAAGTCGGATTGTGTTTTTCGAGTTGCTTAATGTTAGCCAAAAATAATATGACAATACAACAATATGTTTATGATGCGCCTGCAAACATAATTCATGAGCTTCAAAATTATTTTATTATTCAAATTTTTGTAAAAAATGGATATAAAAAGCGTTTACAACAAATTACTGTATTGATGAAAAAATTATTTTGTGTAGTAATTGTATTCAAAAAAATTTCACAGCTCATGAATTATGGCAGCAGCCAGCAGCCGAAACACGTACAGAAGAATATTTTTTTTTCTCAAAACAATTAATAGCTTGAAGATCACCAAAACTATCATGGAAAAAGTCTTTAAAATCACAACGAACCCACCCTCCGTAAAGAAGTTCTACCTCAATACGATAATTAGTTAAAATGTATTTAAAATTTATTTCAAAATTCCCGTATGGGGATGCAAATGTTTGATAAGACAGACAAACTGATAGAAGGGTAAAAGAGGAAAATTTTAAGCCACATAACTTAAATTTTAATTTTTCATGCACAAAGTGCAGTGTGAAAATATTTTATTTTTTAATTTTATTCCGGTATGGGAATGCAAATGTTTTTTAAAGCGGAAACTGATAACAGGGTCAAAGAAGAACATTTTAAGCCACATTACTTGTTACTGAGAGGGTGGGTTTTGACGTAAACCTCCCCTTAAAATTTTAAATTTCGAAAATAGGGGATGAAGGGGTGTCATGCAAAAATTTTTTTTTGCTCGAAATCTTGTTTCTCGTCATTTTTTTACGTCAGTATGGTGAAAATGAACCCCGTGAGAGGGTGGGTTTTATTTAAATTTAGATAACATTGATTTTTCACGGACAAAGTGGAGGCTGAAAATCTTTTATTTTTTAATTTAATTCCGGTATGGGGATGCAAATGTTTTTTACATTTGAAACTGATAACAGGGCCAAAAAGGAACATTTTAAGCCACATAACTTGTTACTGAGAGGGTGGGTTTTGACCGAAACCACCCTTCAAATTTTAAAAAACGAAATTAGGGGATGAAGGGGTGACATGCAAAAGTTTTTCTGCTCAAAATCTTGTTTCTCGTCATTTTTTACGTCAGTGTAGTGAATATGAACCCCGTGAGAGGGTGGGTTTTATTTAAATTCAGAAAACTTTGATTTTTCACGGATAAAGTGGAGGGTGAAAATCTTTTATTTTTTAATTTAATTCCGGTATGGGGATGCAAATGTTTTTTACATTTGAAACTGATAACAGGGCCAAAAAGGAACATTTTAAGCCACATAACTTGTTACTGAGAGGGTGGGTTTTGACCGAAACCACCCTTCAAATTTTAAAAAACGAAATTAGGGGATGAAGGGGTGACATGCAAAAGTTTTTCTGCTCAAAATCTTGTTTCTCGTCATTTTTTACGTCAGTATAGTGAATATGAACCCCGTGAGAGGGTGGGTTTTATTTAAATTCAGAAAACTTTGATTTTTCACGGATAAAGTGGAGGGTGAAAATCTTTTATTTTTTAATTTAATTCCGGTATGGGGATGCAAATGTTTTTTACATTAAAAACTGATAACAGGGTTAAAGAGAAACACTTTAAGCCACATAACTTGTTACTGAGAGGGTGGGTTTTGACCGAAACCACCCCTCAAAATTTTAAAATTGATATTAGGGGATGAAGGGGTGACATGCAAAAGTTTTTCGGTTCGAAATCTTGTATCTCGTAATTTTTTACGTCAGTATGGTGAATATGAACCTCGTAAGAGGGTGGGTTTTAGTTTAATTTAGAATATTTTAATTTTTCGCGCACAAAGTGCAGGGTGAAAATCTTTTATTTTTTAATTTTATTCCGGTATGGGGATGCAAATGTTTTTTACAACCGAAATTGATAACAGGGCCAAAAAGGAACATTTTAAGCCACATAACTTGTTACTGAGAGGGTGGGTTTTGACCGAAACCACCCTTCAAATTTTAAAAAACGAAATTAGGGGATGAAGGGGTGACATGCAAAAGTTTTTCGGCTCGAAATCTTGTTTCTCGTCATTTTTTACGTCAGTATGGTGAATATGAACCTCGTAAGAGGGTGGGTTTTAGTTTAATTTAGAATATTTTAATTTTTCGCGCACAAAGTGCAGGGTGAAAATCTTTTATTTTTTAATTTAATTCCGGTATGGGGATGCAAATGATTTTTACATTGAAAACTGATAACAGGGTCAAAGAGAAACACTTTAAGCCACATAACTTGTTACTGAGAGGGTGGGTTTTGACCGAAACCACCTCTCAAAATTTTAAAATTGAAATTAGGGGATGAAGGGGTGACATGCAAAAGTTTTTCTGCTCAAAATCTTGTTTCTCGTCATTTTTTACGTCAGTTTAGTGAATATGAACCCCGTGAGAGGGTGGGTTTTATTTAAATTCAGAAAACTTTGATTTTTCACGGATAAAGTGGAGGGTGAAAATCTTTTATTTTTTAATTTAATTCCGGTATGGGGATGCAAATGTTTTTTACATTTGAAACTGATAACAGGGCCAAAAAGGAACATTTTAAGCCACATAACTTGTTACTGAGAGGGTGGGTTTTGACCGAAACCACCCTTCAAATTTTAAAATTCGAAAATAGGGGATGAAGGGGTGACATGCAAAAGTTTTTTAGCTCAAAATCTTGTTTCTCGTCATTTTTTACGTCAGTATAGTGAATATGAACCCCGTGAGAGGGTGGGTTTTATTTAAATTCAGAAAACTTTGATTTTTCACGGATAAAGTGGAGGGTGAAAATCTTTTATTTTTTAATTTAATTCCGGTATGGGGATGTAAATGTTTTTTACATTTGAAACTGATAACAGGGCCAAAAAGGAACATTTTAAGCCACATAACTTGTTACTGAGAGGGTGGGTTTTGACCGAAACCACCCCTCAAATTTTAAAATTCGAAAATAGGGGATGAAGGGGTGACATGCAAAAGTTTTTTAGCTCGAATTCTTGTTTCTCGTAATTTTTTACGTCAGTATGGTGATTATGAACCCCGTGAGAGGGTGGGTTTTAGTTGAATTTAGAAAACTTTGATTTTTCACGGATAAAGTGCAGGGTGAAAATCTTTTATTTTTTAATTTAATTCCGGTATGGGGATGCAAAGGTTTTTTACATTGGAAACTGATAACAGGGTCAAAGAGGAACATTTTAAGCACTATAACTTGTTACTGAGAGGGTGGGTTTTGACCGAAACCACCCCTCAAATTTTAAAATTCGAAAATAGGGGATGAAGGGGTGACATGCAAAAGTTTTTTAGCTCGAAATCTTGTTTCTCGTAATTTTGGGTGAAAATCTTTTATTTTTTAATTTAATTCCGGCATGGGGATGCAAAGGTTTTTTACATTGGAAACTGATAACAGGGTCAAAGAGGAACTATGTAAGCCATATAACTTGTCACCGCGAGGGTGGGTTCTCACTTAAACTATTAATATTACGTTTCTATCAACCTCCAAATTTCTTAGGTTGGCACCCTGCCTTTTTCCGTCGCTGGTAACGCTATCGCTATCGCTAACTTCAGTCAGGTGCAAAACGCGAAGGCAAGAATTGCAGGTTGAAACGCGCAAGCAAAGCTCTCTGGCGTCAACAACAGCCTCGCGCTGGATTAACCAAGCAGAGCAAACCCTTGGAGCTTGCAAAGAATCGTGTCGCACTGAATGGCTGCTGTGGAAGTTTACCTCGCAGGTTCTGACAATTCGCACAAAAGTCTTGTTGGATTTAGAAACCGAGACAATAAGACAACATTCTGCGAGACATCCGAGCGTAAATGTTCTGTCATGGTGCGGAAAATACGAGAACAAAACTGTTTAAAATGTCATTTTTACCAGCGATTTCCACAGAATTATGCAAGTGGGTGTTTTAAGTCAAAGTATGAGCATTTTCTATGCTTTTACATAAAATAAATATTACAATTAATTTCTATTTCCGTACAATTTATTGGTTATATAAGCTACAAATGAGATTTTTGCTATAAAAATTAAAAAGTATCGCGATGAAGAATGCAAAATATTTCATTTTGTTATTGTTAAATTTAAAAAAAAAACATGTAAGATAAATATAATCCTTGTAAATTTGAATGAATTTGAAATGATTAAAGAGAAGAAATGACGGAGCATTGATTTACAAAGATTGAGTATTAAACTGTTCATTTAATTGCTGATAGATTTACTTATTCGCCTTTCAGCTTTACGCATTTTATTTTACAAAATGAAAATTTGATCAATTTATAAATTATTGTAACAAAAATTTAAATTACGTTTGAAATTTAAATTTTTAAGATTATGTACATTTGGGTGATTTTGCAAATTGCGACTGACCTGCGAGAGAAGGTGTGAGGGCGGCGACCGCGAGGGTGCACAGGAAGAGGGCGGCCCGGGGCCGGTCGTTGCTCGACTTGGCCTTCATCGTCACGGCCGTCGAATCGCAGCACTCATCGGACACGCACGCAAAAATGTCCCCGAAGACACTGGTCGTTCTTCCGGTTCGAGGTTTGTACGTTCCTTGCGAATTGTTAGTCACAACTGCTGTGTCAACTGACTGAGATTGAATGTGTGTTGGAGGCGGTGAGGAATGTGAGGGGCTGCCTCGGCTCGGAGCGACGGCGGACGGCGTGCGAGCGACCCGGACTACGGACTGATCGCCCGCCGCCAACCCCAGCACCCCTGGTGGCCGCCGCCGCCGACTCTGCCCGCGCCTGCCCCGTGCCCTGCCCCCCCTTCCACCTCGGCGTGCATTGCACATCTCATTGTCACACCCAGGAGGATGTTTTCTAAATAATCAGCACAAAGCTTCAAAACATTAATCGGACCAACAAAATTGAATTCATTCTTATTTTTATAATTTTTGTTGCTTATTCATCCACGTTGTTTTCATTAAATTGTAAAAAAGGATTATAATATGGCATGGAAAAGTCAGGTTTACACAACTGAAATAATTAATAAATAATAAAAAATTAACGGTAAAAAAAATCAATTGAACGTATAAGTGCGCGAATTTTTTTGAGAACCAAAATGAAAAGCTAGAAAGTGCTATATAGGATTCATTTTCTCAGTAAAAGTCTATATTCTGACAAATATTTTTCCAATTTTTATATAATAGGTGCAGAATAATATTTTGAAGTCATTTAAAACCAAAAGTGCTTGTATGGCAACGAAACAAATTTTAGTTTAAAAAAATTTGCGTATAATTTAAAGTCATTTGCATTATTTCAAATATCCAAAGAATCTATTCAATCTTAAACTAATATCTAAATAATTTGATTTTATAAGTGACTTAATTTAAAATATCTGATCTAAAATATATGTTATTAATTTGGAGCTTCTGTATTATATAATGTTTATAATGAGGACGCTTTAGTTGAGGTATGGTCGTCGAGCTGAACTGTTTTTGGTGACGTGTGTTTGTATTATGTACTTAAATTAGCCCCTCGGATAGATGAAAAGGCCCGATTGCTGACATGCTCTCAAATCAGCGCGTTCAAATGCTAATTAGGTTGGAATAGGAGGGAAACGATTGAAACAGTTATACACAGCCTCGCATGCGGTCGCACTAATTGAATTTGGATGTATCTCTCTTTTGGAAAGCACCGATGAAAGCATGATAAATCGCGCACGGCGGCTCAAATGCGTTAGGCGACACTTTTTATTTCCATCTTGATGCCTATAGCTGCGTGCAGTGTCGGTGTTTTACACAGCAGCTTCCTGAAAAAATAAATTATACAACCATGATCGCATTGTTATTTTAGTAGCAGTGCCTCGCCGCGTTGACAATTTGCCTAATGGAATCAAAATGCCCCTCGCCATTTTTTTCTATTTGCTTTCTGTCATAAATTTTTCATAATAGCAGCAAATTCAGTAAACTTTTCTGTATAATTAATTATTTTTTTTTATTTAAGCTTGGCAAAATCCCATCAATTATCAATTAATATTCATTGTTTCAGTTTTTAATACTTGAATCATTTTCATGCCAAGGCGTAAATGGTTTTTATTTTCCTTGCAAAAATTTGGATTTTTCAATCCAATTTTCAAGAAATATTATAGAAGATAAAGTTTTCCTTGTTCAACAACAACGTTGTCGCAATGTTGATTTTATGTTAGTAAAAAAATTGAGGTTTGCTCCTTAAGTTAAAATCAACACAGTTAAATATGTGTGTCTGTTTTTATTTTGAAAAAAAGTATTTTAATTACAATTTATTACTCACTTAGGAATTCTCAACAGTTTTTAAAATCTATCTCGATGATTGCCAATGAAATTCTTTGATAAGGAAGCAGGTAGGAAGTATTAAAACAAAAATATTCCAAAAGATAATGGTATTGTGGATATAGAGAAGTATTTTTTGGAAAGAGAAAATTACATTGAAAGATATAAAAAGTGGGAGAGAAATGCTGATTTTCACGAGGCTGCAAAAGCATTATTTTTGGGGGTGCAAATGTAGATCGGGTCGCTTGTGTCCGATAAATTCAACGCTGATAATATCAGCCAGTGAGCATCTCTCACACTGTTGCCGCCCCGAGGGAATTTACTCCTGCCTCTACCAAAAAAGTTAACCGCTTGCAAACAAAAATAAAATAGATTGGATTTATGCATTTTCATTTATAATTCTAAGGTGTAAAATTAAATTGCGCAGATTGATTTGTTTTAGGTGTGATGAAGTCATCATGAATCAGGAATCACATAAACTATATAAAGCAATCAGGTCTAAAAATATAACACCGCTGGTGGCTTTTATCACGACAAACGAACATTCGTAATAAATATCCATCCAGGAGGAAAATTCGAGCCATGCAAACCGACTGGGTAAAAAAACGCACGACAGAAGAAGAAAAGAAGAAAATGGTCGTGTTGAATTAAGCCCGAGACAATCCGAATAAGGAAAACACCGAGTAATTTTGAACTATATTTGCATTGCACCCCTTTGTGCACACAGTCACTCTTTCGACTTGCTTTTTCCTACGTTCTTCTTTGCGCAAGCACGCAGCAGATACACCCTAATAACGGGCCTGCTCTCACTTGCTCTCCACTTTAAGTGCTATGCAACACGCAAGGCCGGCCGTACTACGAGTGCACAGCAACTCGCCTGCTAATAACAGAGGCTGCTAAAGCACCCTGTGATTTCAAATGACCTTTCAGCTGCATATTTTGATATGCGTTTTATATTTTAGCATAACGATTTTTAAAACGAGCTGTGTTTGATCTTGACTAAAGGAATACATAGTAAATAAAGATTTTTTATTATTCTTATAATTGTTAGCATTAAATTTAATATAATAATTTTAAATTTGTTTTAAATTTAAAAGCAGTAAACTCAACATTTAACCGACATATACTTTTTATTTTAAATTTCTTATTGCATAATATATAAGGTAAATAATTTATTATAAATACAAGCATAATTTTAATACGCGGAAATTTTGAATTATGAATTTATATCATGGTCATTTTTTCATTATTATTAATTTCAGATTGATGTGATAAAGAAATTATCATTGGAAACAATAATCGCTCTCTTTCATACCGCAGACTTCTTTCCATATCATCTACATATTAAATTTTAAATTAGAAAAATTACAAAATTACTGATTACTGAATATCATATAGTAGGAACCGTTAGCGAAAACGGCGATAAATCCGTTTAAAAAGAAATTCTCTCTCACTTGGCAGTTTTTGTTTATAGCTCATTTGGTACTCAATGGGCGAACTTTGCGAGACTTTTCGGAGAAAGTCCCTTTCTTCATCTCCCCCGTGGTTGGTGGGAATGCATGGTGTTCTTCCTGAAGGCCGCAGATAATAGCGTTAAAGGTTTAATTGAGTTTGAAACTCGGCGAGGAAGGATTTCAGTCCTAAGCCAGCAGTGCCGTACACAAACTCTGCAGAAAGCTAGTTCGTGCGGCGGATCTGTTTATTCCTCTTAATGCCGCTGCCGGTGTGTGTTAATAGAAGAGTAAAAGCAGGATGAGCATCAGAGTTTCTCCGATAACATCGGGAGGTGAGGCGGATCGGAATGAGCGTCGCTTCGAAAAGAGTATAATTTGATATTTTTAATTAATTTTTTCAATGCACAAAAATTGGAAGCATTCTAAGAAAGACGAAGCGAAAGTGATCTTTGAGTGATAACAATGAGAAAGGTAAAAAATGCTATCGCAATCAGAATGGATGAAAAGAAAGGCTTTTGCACGAGTCCCCAAAGAAAATTCAGCATCACCTTTGCAGTTCCACCAACGAGAGAGACCATTGCCAGTTTGGCTGCCTCGTATTCTCCGCATCTTTCCTTGAGGAGAATGTATATTCTCTGCACTGAGGAAAAGGAAGTGGCGGCGGATGAAAGCAGGCCTAGACAATGGTCGTATAACCTTTCGACGTGACGCAATTGCTTTTTTTCCCTCTTCGTAAGTATTGCCTGCGCGAACAAAAGATCTAGAGAAAGAAAAAGCGCCACCGCAGCGCCAGCAGTTAGACATGTATATATGAAATTTGCATATTTCCATTTCGCTTGATTGATCAAAGGAATATATCATTGCCGGCAAATAAGATCAACGCTGAGACGAGGAAGCTCCCAGGAGTTTTACCGAGCGAGAAGCAATAAATTCCTTTCCAACTACGAAAGTTCAGCAAACTCTTCAAAAATCCATTTATTAATCAACCAAATCCATTTTTGTCTTTACAAATTTACAGCGTTCACGCTGCAATCAAATATTTTGTACATCACAATAATTAATAAAATTAATTTGTTTTTAAACTATATTTCCACCCCGATGAAAATGATTATTTTATAATTAATAATAATTTGCTGTTTTTATTTTATGATCCATATTAGCTTCATTTTTATTTTGAATTGCAGCATTAATGTTATTTCACCTAAAAAAAACTAACTAACAAGTGTGAAACCATTTTAAACAGTATCATTTATATGTATGATGGCATTTTCCCCTTTCAAAATTGGTCACGGTGAATCGATGTCACATTATTTGTGCAGAAATAGAGTTCTGTAAAGCCGGACAATGAGTTGTTGCGTGCGCGAGACGGCGAAAAGTCAATTTTTTTTGTCACCGGCAGGCGAGAAACGAGGGACATCTGGCTGCTCGGCCGGGGGTGAGGTCGACCATCCCCCTCGCTTGAGCCGCATCTGCCGCGCTGTTTATTTGTCAAATAAGTTTTTGCGGACGACGAGTGTCAAAGAGTCATTTCTCTTGCTCTCCCAGATATGCGCTTTCACTTTCATTGACTCTGCTCGTTGGGGCGCGGAAAGTGGGGGCCTTGTCAATAATTGGCCATTACCGGCGAGTTAATGGGCATGCACCCTTGATCAGAATCGACACGTTTGGAAAGGGGCGTCATTGATCACATATTATACTTGATTTGAGTTTTAAATTGGATTTCACACAATATTTCTAAAAAGAAAATATTGACATTTAAAATTATAACTTTATTTTGTCTAAAGAGGGCTATAAAATATTTAAATAATTATTGTTTGGAGAAAACAATCCTTATATATCTATAGAATTTAAATTCATAAATAGAGTTGCAATTTTAGATTTTAGAAATCAGTTATTCAAGGTACATTTAAACAAATAAAATAATTGAAAGGTAAATTCTAGATCCGCCACTGTTACATTTGTACTGTTTAT